TTGTTTCGTATGAACACGGAGATCTCATTATTAGTTTCTTTGCTCTAAACAAATACATTGTTTTATATAAGTGGACCTGTAAACAAACAAACAAACAAACAAACCCAGAGAAGGGCAAGAGGAGGGCTACCTGAAAACACACCGCATAACCAAACTTTTCTAAATGCAGCCTCTAGTTTCTGAAAGTGCAACAGAGCCGTTGTGCTGAATGCATACTCTAAAGATGAGTTTTCTAGCTCTTTCTTTACTGAGGTTTCTTTGCATTAATTAAAAATGGCAAAAAACAAAGTATTTTAATGTGACCTTCATTTGGCATTTATTTTAACTTTTCTTCTCCAATTTTATTTAATTCTTCCACTTCTGTTGTTCAATTAATGTTTGACCCCATTAGCAGAGATGTAAATTAAATGACATTTCAATGCCATCCCTTATTTAAAATACTGTGTTAGTTGTGGATCATAAAGGATGATCTTCGTTCTTTAGCTAATTTATTCATTTAACAATTTCCCTCCAGAAGTTCCAGCAGAAGGCTCTGAAGCAAACTAAGCAGAAGAAATCCAAGTCGGCTGAATTTCTGATGGGTGAGCCTTGCTTGATGAGTTATTGCTCATAATTTGTGTAAGGATTAATTAACTAATTACAGACAAATGGCTGTGGGCGAAATTTTGCTCTTGCTTGTCAGGGTGCAATTTGTAATTATTTTAATCATTTATTCTTTTTTTTTAGAGTTAATTTTAACCTAATTCTGTTTTGGCGACATTTGAGGACGATACACTTGAGTCTTTCAGCAAAGGAATTACTAGAAGGAATTTTCTGCTTGTCATTGAAATACACTTTGGTATAATGTGCTCTTCTGACCTCCTTGTTTTCTATAGTAAAAGAAGAGAAAGCAGCAACAGAAGGGATTGAAAATCCAGCTTTTAACATCAGCAGCACAGATCTTTCAGCATATCAGACTTCAGAAGAGAAAGTTATTAGACATGACAAGCTAGATAGCACCCTTGCAGCTCACCAACAAAAACTCAGGCTGCAAGCCCATGCTGAACCAAGAGGTGAGACTTCAGTCTTGATTATCCTCAAACTGAGTGACAGTAGTTGTGTTCCTGATCTAACCTGTGCATTCCATGGCCTACACCAGACATTCCATCCTAACATGTCCGAACAGGCTCCCCTGAAAGCCTGGGATGTAAAATTAAAAATATTGCTGAAAACATTTGATGTCTAAATATTTAGAGATCTATTCTCCTATCTTCATGCCTACATAACTCCTGATGACAGGACAAAGTTGCATGATGCTCTCTGCCAGCAGAAGAAACAGGCTATTGTGAAAATAGTTTCCTGTTCATTTATATGATGCTGAAATGGAATCATCTCAGCTGAAGAGCAGAGATGTTGCACAGTTATTGACTCTCAAGCATTAGAGTAGTTTTAAACAAACATTATGTAAGTCCCTGATCCACTATTGCCCTCACCATCAATATGCTCTCAATCAACCAACATGTTTCTTTTTTTTTAAGCCCAATTACATCTCAAAAACTATCACTGGACATTTCATTATAATAATAATAATGGGTCAATGCTTCCTGTTATCCTGATAATAGTTGTAGCCTGCTATAATAAATGCCTTGGATTTCAGCCTCAGTTTATTTAGGGCATAGTATCATTATTACCTTTGGAAGAACCGTTAGCTTTCAGTTAAGTAACTTGCACCAAGCCATAGTGATCTTCGTTGCAGTCAGCTTTCTTACTACAGATTGAAACTTGAAAATTGTGAGCAGCCTTTGTTGTTGTATTATTTTGAATTATTACTATTATAAATATTACCATAACAGTTTTTGTTTTCTTAACAACCTGGCAATAAAAGACTTTCAGAAGAACTTCAATTGATCTCCTAAAATATGTGGGAAGCATTTTGGGCCAAGCTTTTAAAAAACAGGGTGCCTAAAGTTAGGCTGTAAAGTGTTATTCTACAAACACTTATGCAGATACTTAACTTTCCTCATGTAAGTGGTCCCATTGGCTTCAATGGGACTATGTACATGCATAAATAATGTGCAAGTGTAGAATCCAAGTCCATATTTAGGTCTAAATAAGAGACTTGATTATCAATAGTGCAGAGCACCCAGCAGTTCCCATTGAAGTCAACAGCAGTGACTTCTGCATGCTTGGCACCTCTGCACATCAGACCACTTATTTAGGTGCCTAAATAGGAACTGCAGAGAATAACTCTAGGTGCTCATTTTTTAAAATCTTAGCCATGTTCTTTTGGTGTTTGAGGTACTGAGAGCCCGCAAGTCCCTCTGATCCCTTGCTAAATCCAGCTGCTATATTCTCCTTGGCCTTAACATGGCTGTATATGGTGGCACAGAAGGTAAGAAGCCTTCCTTTCCCTTGTGTAGCCCACATAAAGGCCAGTGAGACTTGAAGACTCTGCATTTTGTGGAGCACAGGTCCTCTCTGCCCCAAATCCCCTGGGGGTGCCTGATAGCTAGGAAGGAGGCAGGTCTGTGGCTCCAACACTCCAACTACTGGCCAGTGGAGGGAGCTGCACCCCACAAAGTTGCTCCCCTACGTGAGTGCAGCTCAGCAGCGCTTACAGTAGGTTGGTACCTAAATGTCTCAGTCTAGCCTCTTATGCCTAGATGTTCTTAAATTAGTTTGGTGTTGGACCATTATTCCAAGATGAAATGGTTTTTCCTATGATCCCTACACAAATGAGAGGAAGGGAAATATATTATAAATTCTTAACCAATTGTTAACATTGCAGAATATAGTATTTTTCCTACTCTCCAGGTACAATTTGAATTCTGCACTTTTGACATCTGCCAGTGTGGGGACAAAGCACCTAAGTACAGTGCATATGGTGATATCTGAAAATACTGTAAACAATCTTGCCAAAAATAACTATCTTAATATTTTCCTAATATTATAGGTTACTTTTTGAATCCTCATTCAGCCTGCATCAAGAGTAAAAGGTACTTAGATATATACAAACGCCTATATATACACTGTAAAACAGAAAAGCCTGAGAGAGAAACTAGGCCTGGGTTAAAAATAGCACAACAAAAAGGATAAATTAGGAAAGGAAAACATGGCAGCTAGGCATAGGTCAAATAAATATAAAAATAACCAAAAATGGAAAAAGTAGGTAAGGGTTAAAATAACAATACGCTAATATTGGGGCAGGATTAAAAACAAAAACTAGGAATGTTAAGGTCAGTTAGGTATTAGGTCAAGAGATAATAAAGTGATAATTGGGTGTGGGGTCAAATTAAAAAATGTTGGGTTTTTTTTGCATCCCTCTCTCCATTCCTTGGTAATACAATTTACTTGACCAATATCTATAGCATCATATTTTACACAGTTTTCAAATTGCTCTGTTCTTCCATAAAGGGTATTCTGAAACAAAATGGTGATGATGGGTAAAATTTTCAAAAGTGCCTAAATGACTTGGGTAGGCCTTGTCGATACATAAAAGTTTACACCTTTAACTGGACTGGTATAGTTCAAGCAATATACCCACTCAGTGTGGATGCAGTTATACTGGTATAAAAGTGTTTATACCAGAATAGCTTATTTGCATACATGAAGTACACTTGTATCCTGCTATGCCTGCACCTACACTATGGAAATACCAGTACAAATAATCATCACCCTAACCAATATAGTTATACCAAACCAATATAGTTATACCAATACAAAATCTGTGTGCAGACCAGATTTTAGGAGCCTAAGTCCCATTTTCAAAAGTGATTTAGGCACTTTGAAGTCTAAGTCTCATTGTCCTTCAGTGAGACTTAAGCTACGTCTACACTACGAGGTAGATGTGTGATTCCCAGCTCATGTAGTCATATTGGCACTATTTCTATGAAGCTAGTGTGAGTATAAACATCCGTATAGGTGTGGTAGCATGGGCAGCGTCAGAAGAGTACATTCCCAAGGGATTCATACTCTGTCCAGGTAAGCCATGCGTCCACTGTCACTGCCCATGCTACTGCAACTACACTACTATTAATACTCCTGCTAGCTCTCATCCAGCTAGTGTGAGTATTTGTATGCAAGCTGGGAATCAACTCCCACTGCCAGCTTGTAGCATTAAGTTATCCTTAGACCATTTAATAAAGTCATACTTTTAAACAAAATAACCAAGACTAAAAATTTAACACATTAGATATTTAAAGCACAGTGTAAATACTGGACCAGATCCTCATGTGTGCTCTAGAGCACTGCTCAATACACCTGACAGCTGGAGGGGGGAGGGCAGAAGTGGCTTTCCACTATCTTTCCACCCCTCTCCCATGACCTCTGGGCAGCCACAAACTGACTTGCCCTCTGGTGCAACATAGAATGTTACCAGGATTGCCTTAATTTCCTCCCACAGCGTCACAAGGACTGTTCACTGGCTGTGATTGCTGGAGGGCAGTGCTCTCTGGGCACACCCTCTCCCACTCCTGGCATGTCTCAACACATCCCTATGCCAGGGAGGCTGGGAAGTGGTGGCATAGCACCAGCCACATGCCAGGGCGATCCCCTGTTGCTCACGTAGGATGGCTTCAAATTCCTTTTTGCCTCAGGAGTCCAACGGGGACTTAGTTAACAGCCAGATCCTTGGCCCTGTTAAATCCCATAATACCACTGTGAGGTAGTTAAGTATTATTCTAGTTTACATATGAGGAAAGTGACAGAGAGGTTAAGTACACAATATCCAACAGTACCCACTCATTTTGGGTGCTTCCATTTTTAGGTGCCCAGTTTGAGGAATCAGAAGCTGAAGCATCTAAAATCAGTGGACTCTTAAAACTGGAGGCCAGGGTGATTTGTCCAAGCTTAGCATTCAGGAATAGAGCTGGATGAATTTTTTTGAACAAGTAGTTTATTCGCTGAAAAAATGTCAGTCAACCTGAATCCATTTGTGAATTTGAAACAAATTTGCCAAATAGTTTCAGCCCAACATTTTTTTTTCAGGTGGCTGTGGTGGTGCCCCCCTTATAACCTTTAGCTCCATGGTTAGCGTACTTACCTGGGAGGTGGGAGAGCTGGGTTCAGGCACCCCCTCTGTCTGGTGTGGAAAAGGAATTTGAATTTGAGTCACCCCTATCCCAAGTGAGTTCTCTAACCACCAGGCTGCTGGCTGTTCAGGGTAGGTGGTATCTCTGACAATCTCTGCTGTTAGAATTGTTCCACTTTATATATTAAAAAAATTAAATAGTCATTGGGGGGTCAGATTAAAAAAAATGACTGTAAAACTTGGTGGCGAGGGTACTCACTTGGGACATGGGAGACCCAAGTTCAAGTCCTTAATCCAGTGACAGCATCAGGAAGCCTGTGCAAAGCCTTTAGGATCATGCGGTCTTGAGCATCCCGCCACAGTGTGGCTTACTTCTTCCTTGCCCCTTTTGTTAGTGATTTTGCAACTCCAGAGATTGAGATTGTCCTTGCAACTTGCTTCAAGGATCTAAAAGATGAATGAAAGACTCCTTACTTCCCTCGCCTACACTGCACATTTCCACTAAGGTCAGAGGCCATCTGACCCCAAATGTTGGTCATTCGAGTTAAAATTGTTTCCAAGTGACAAAAACCATTATTGTTTCCTATGATCCCCAGTACGCACAGCACTTTCAAAACTAAATTATCTGCTAAAATCATGAGCACTAATTCTACCATTTTATCTAGAACAGACACTGTTAACATCTCATATCATGCTCCATAGAAATGAACAATATTAGAGAGAGAAAAAAAAAGAAAAGAAAAAATAGATCTTTAGGGTGAAGACCAAATGAAGACTGAAGGTCAGCTAATCAAATACATGCTCATTGTGAGTTGTGTTTTCAAGATGTCTATCTATCAATTTACCTATCTAGCAATCATACTTATGTGGCCCCCATTACCACAGTATCTGTGTGCCTCACAATATTTAGCGTATTTCTCCTAATATCACCCCTGGGAGAGAGGGAAGTATTATAATCTCTATTTTACAGATGGGTAAATGAGGCACAGAAGGACTTAGTCACTTTCTTGAGGTCATATAGGAAGCCTATGTTCGAACAGGGAG